TGCTCTTCACATGATTGTCATGTTTCAAGGTTCAATAAAGTACTGCTAGAAATAGGAAAGCATATTTCATAGGAAATGATTATTGCTTCATTAGCAATTAACTTATTATAATGAAAAGCCAAAGTTCAAGGGAGGGAATGGATTAAAAGTTTGATTATGGGGAGACCTAGGCTTTTGTATTGCTGGGTGCTATTCTTAAACATTATTTTATTTATATCGAATTCATTTCTTCGTAAATATTGTTCCAAAATTTATTGGAGGACAAAGTGTAAACTAGGTTTTAGACTGATATTGTATGGTGTAACACTTTACCAATTTTTCATACCCACCTCTACTTTTTGGATGTTTCTTCTTACATTTCATAAAATTCTTAGACTCCTCCCATTAGTTTTGAAATGAACTTTTGGAAATGTAAAAATTAAAATCCGACCAACATATTTCAAAAATATTAAAAAAAATTATTCTCTGCAAAACACGCTGATTTGAAAGTAGGTTCCCTATTCCAGATGAAAACGCTCTTACAGTGGAACATTTGGTTTCTTGATCTTTAATTGTGACACTTTTTCAAGATTCGTGAAGATAATGGGAACTATGTAGAGATTCATGAAGAGGAGGAGATGCTTGTCATGTCTTTTGGTGAAGAAAGAAATTCAAGAAAATAAAATTAGGTTTCTTAATTCGAGGTAAAACAATTACATGCGTGATTGGACAGAGTGTCAAACTGAAAATTGTAGGTATTACAAAATCTTCAATGTGTTTTGTATTCTAAAATTAAAGATTAATTTGTTGAACATAGGTTAACTCAAACAAATATCAATGTTGTGTTAAAAAAAACATTGGTAAAATTGTCCTTGTTGACAAAGACCTTTATCATATCAAGTAAAATGTCTTACAATTAGATGTTTCTTGTAGGTGTTCACATGATATCTCTAACTTACTTGTTGAGAGTGGAAAAAGATGATACTACACACCTATAACATTGCAGGTAAGGTGATCTTGATGTCAAAAGTTTAAGAACTCTCTTTAAAAATAAAATTGTTGTCTTACAAAGAATATTATTTCAAAGAAAGTTCATGCAGAGCTTTTAAACATCTAGAACCGTCCATTGTGGCATTGGCATTTGTTATCCCACCAAACTAGTTTTAATCACCTCAGTAACAAAGCCCTTTTTCTGAATTTGTTGCTGTTCAAATCCTGAATAAGAAAAATATGGTTACTTCATTTGTTGCTGTTTAAGAACTCATAGAGGAGGATAGTTCAAATAAGTTGAATTTGATAGGTTTTGGTTTAATAATGGTATTAAAAGGTAGTTTGTTATATCATAACTCTTTACAAAATGGAGTGAGAGAGGAAAAAAATACAATGATGAATATAATTAGAAGTATATTATCAGAGAAGGAGGTTCTTAAGAATCATGACCAGAAGTAGTGAATTGGTTAGTGTATGTATTAATAGTCATGAGAAATGTTACACTTGACCTAAAGTGTTTTTAAACTCGTTAAGACGCTTTAGAGTGGTGATTCTATGGTGCATGCTTGTGTACCAGCTGACATCTTCAAAAGAAGAAGTTGAATGTGAAGAATACTATGTGTGTACTTTTGGGAGTAAGTGAAAAATTCAAAACCTATATATGATCCTGCAGTAAGAAGGATCATGCGTAAAGTGATTAGAATCAAATAAATGGAAGTCGGAAAATAAATAAGGAAAAACTTAATAGATTGTGACAGAAAATGAAAATGATATAACAATGTTGACTTAATGAAGAATATAGTACTCATTACAAAAATTCAATTAAACAAGAAACGGATGCAGCAACTAACAATGTACCATTTGGTTAAAAGATTGTCACATGGATAATTGCATAATTTTAACATGTTCAATGATTAGATCTTGAAAATTTTGAAGAAAACACACGTAAGTTGAATTTTTAAGAACAAATGTAACGAAGATGGAAAGTTAAACCAGTGATAAATGGGTACTCTCAACAGCATGAATTTATCATAACAAAGTGTTTGCTCCTGTATATATTGCTAAGTGGGATACAATTAGAACTTTTCTGACCTTAGTTGAAATGTGTCTTAACTTACTGTCAGTAATCTTTTGCTGCATTTAAAATGAGTTCCTCATCACACTTAATAATCATACCTTAGTAACCAAAGTTTTGAAAAATGTTCTCATGAACATACTTTTTTATTTGTTAAAGCAGGTTATATATAACGATTATTACTAATGATTCTCTATATAATATGTAATTTATACAGAAAATGAATATTTGATGAATTTAAATAATTTATGTAAAGTGAGTTTGACATGACAGGTCTTAAAAAAAATTCTTAAACATAGAAGAAATTCAATGTCTTGAAGAAATATTTATATGCCAAAGAAATTGTAGTAAAGTTTGGTGTGAAAAAAAATAATGGTAAAGTTTAACTTGATGCTCCTACGAAAATGTCCGATAAAGTTAAATAATAAGATAATTTAGTTTTAAGAGTTCATTGGAATAAAAAAGATAATAAAAAATAGGAATTTTTAGGAACATTTTCATATGGAGGATATCTTAAACTATTATTAGTTGATTTTGAAAAGATATTAAGACGGTGTATAAATATATTATTGTAATTTTGATTGAAAAATGAAAAAAGAATCAATAATATATAGTTTTATATTTTTTTAGAAATTTTTTTGTTATGAAATTAATATCAACAACTGTGATTTTTTATAAGAATTAGGATTCTAATAAGGGTTGTTGCAATTATGATTCACTGATGAACAACGAATCAATTATGATAAATGGAGTGTTTAAATGAAAATTAAACTTAAAGTCCAAGGTAATTAATAGATGTTAGAGAAAAATTTTGAGACAATTAAATCCGTACCCATGAGGATCGACCCGTCTTCGCCTCGAGTTTGACGGAGAAAATCGAGTTGACCAGTGGCGGGTCGGGTTCGATTTTCCGCTTTAAAAATCGGGAGCGGGCGGGGATAGGTAATGCAATCCCCACCCCGACCCCGTCTCCGCTCCGACTTTATATTTAAATTTAAATTTTAATATATTAATATTTTAAAACTATTTCATTTTCTTTTTCTATTACATATAAGGTTATTTTTTTATATTTCACCAATTTTTATTTTTCTTCTACCCACTTTTTAATTTTTTTTATCTTTTTCAATCTTTTATATCAATTAATTTATTATATTATTCTTTCTTTTATCTTTCAGCTTTTTCACATTTTCTTAATCTCTCCCATCAATTTGTTTTTTTTTTCAATCTTTTCAACCAATTTGATGAACACAAAGTTTTTTTTTCTTCTTTATCATTTTTCAAAATATTTTACATAAATCTTAATAGTAACTAATATTAGTTTATTTATAATTTATATTTATTATATTTTATTATATCATATTTTTTTATCTTATTATGCTTATTTATCATATATCAAATTTTATCTTAATAAAATAATTATATTTTAAAGGATTAGAAGGAATTAATAATTTTAACTTTTATTACTTCAAACTAATTAAATAAGAATTAACTTATTAAATATTTCCTTATAAACTATATATTTCATATTTTTAATGATAACTTAAAAATGAATTAACTTATATATATAATCAAATGTTTAAATACAGTATTATAATAATAATGTTATAAATATTCAAATATTTGAATACAGTATTATAATAATAATAATAATATTATAAATATTAGATATATATATATATAAATAAATAATAATTAAATATTTCTTTTACATATATATTTTAATATAAATATAATAAATTAAAATGTATATTTAATTAATAATAATTATAAATTATAAATATTTATTTATATATAAAAATACATAGTAAAATTAATTTATTATAAATGTAATTATCTTTTTAAAAATAATATAAATCGGAGATGGAGTGGGAACGGGAATTCGAAACCCAACGGGACTGGGACTTAATTTCTAACCCCGACGTGAATCGGAGACGGAGATAATTAAAAAAATCGGGATCGAAGATCGGGAGGCAAAACCCACCCCGTTGTCATGCCTAAACAAGAGATCATGGAAGAGTTGACAATTAATAAATTTAAGAAATTAAAAAAGAAAATTAAGAAAGACTGTACAACTCTGTATTTATTGTTTTATATATATATTGGTTTTTTTTATTTTCAATTTTACTTTTTCTTTTCTTTTTTACATGTATCTTACCTATATTCTTTCATTCCTCGTCACACTTATTACGCTGTTATCTTTCATCTTCTTTTTTTAATAACATTATATTAAAGGATGACCGCAAATATATTTACATTCTTTATATAGAGTGTAGATGTTATTATTAATAATGTTTATATTATTTTATAATTTAAATTCAGTGATTGGATTGAATATCGGGTTAAATATATAAAAATTATGACAGTACCCTCCTTTTCATCATCTACTCAACCGTCATTAATCGCTTTGGACAATTAAATTTAAAATAAAACTTAATGTATCTTTTAAGATGCGTAATGATAGGTTGAATGCAGGTTATAACTCTAAGCTACTTTTCAGATAGGTTAAATTCGAAATACATTTTAAAAGAATAGTTTTTTTTATTTAATTTCTCTTTGTTCTATTTTAAAATATTGAAGGTTTTTTTACGTGGAATAAAGAGAAGGTGAACATAAACTGAAAAAATAATTCATAAATGTTATTTGCTAATGGTAAATGAAACTGTTCTTTTAGAATGTCTATCATGAAGATAAATCATGTAAACTAGCACTCGACATAGAAGTAAATATTTGTTGGTCTTTTGACCCTCCAAGCCTTGATTACGAACAGGGCACATAGAGACACAAGATAACCAATTTTTATGTAACAATCAATAAATAAAATTCATAAATAATTATAATCTATACTAATGTATATGTTCACAGTCAAAATTTCAACAGCTACTTACCTCCACAAGTTTGGTTTAAACTTAAAAAGAACTCAGTATATCTATTTAAACATAAAAATTAACCTGTTTTATCAAAACCTTTCTGCCAATCTCGCAGTAACTGCTCTTAGTTTTGAATACACCTTTCCTGCCGGTGATCCCAGGATCAGACTACAAAGGGAGTCCCTAGCAATCTTTATGTTGGCAAAAGATCCCAATATGTGAATTTTGGTGTCAGCAATCACGATTCTTGTCTTTGACGCATTCTCAATTGCAAACTTTGTTTTACCACCTTTACCAGATAACCTTCCAATAGCACGAGACAAGTGATCGCCTCGAAGTGTTTTAACATCCTTGATCTCAAAGGACTCGATGTAGAGCTCATCCAGACGCAGAAGAGCTATGGCATCTATGACATCAAAGCCCAGCATGAAAGCATGGACAAAATCAGCACATTTTTGCAGGTTACTAATATCAGGTGTATCAACCCTTGTCTTCAGCTCAACTCTACGAGCCTTCAAATTCATACGGACATCAATTTTCATCTGCTCATAGATGGGAGTATAGATATCCATCCAAGCTTTCTTGAGTGGGGTATAACGATGAGGTGGAACATTCACCTTCCGGAACTGAACCTGTCCATCAGACATCTCATGAGGCTTCAAAGGCTCAAACTTTGGCTTTGGCGGCAAAAGTTTGGCTTCAGATGGGACAGTCTCAATTTCCATGGAAGAAGCTGCCTGATTTGACTCCATCCTACAACATAAAGCAACCAAAAATAAGTTTATATAAGATATTCAAAAAGCCAAATGTAAAACTTAAATTTAAATAAGCTAAATCAATTTCTCCAGTTCTAGATATGACTTATGAGCAGGCATAATTAGCAATCACAAATAGTGGCAGCACAGTGAGGCTGGGTCCCGAAAACACTACAAAGGGATGGAAGGACGGCTCATAATTGAAAGAAACAAAGAATGAATTAAGTTCCATTAAGTTAAAATCAACCTATGCATTTAAACTTAAAAAAAAAAAAAAAAAAAAAAAGAGTCTCTAATTTAACTTTTCTAAATGTAAAATTGAACTATGATAACAAGGTAATAAGACCCAAGTCACGTCCTAAAATTTATATTTCAAAAAGAAGACTTAAATCCCTAAAATCCACAAAAAACAAAAAAACAAAAAACAGAAATAGGGTTAAAGAGGGGATTTTCCCTCATTTAACCATAACAGTTATAATACGCTCCAATTGGAACACTTACAAGTATGATTTTTTTTTGAGAGGCTTTTGCAAATTTGTGAGAATAAAAAGGGTTTTAGCAAACAATCAGGTTAACTTCAATCGGAGTCACAACTCATGTATGTACAAACACGAGATTAGTTGTTGTTTTTCCTGTTCACAATCAGAATAATTTGATACTCTAGTTGTTACAGATTACATAAGGTTCAGAAGATGTAACTAGAACGCAGCAATATACATATTCGCAAGAAAGTGAAACAAAGCTAACAGCATACGTGAAAAGAGAGCGAGTAGGCGGCGACGAAGTAGCTGGTGGTGGTCGAAGCGACTACAGCGTGTCAGCAGTGATCGAAGCGCCTACAGGTTTGATGCAGCTTTTCACTCACTCTCTCTGAGGGTTTTATTTTAGGGAAAGTATTTAGGATTTGATAGGGACACCCTTTGTATTTTTAAATTCGTTGGAGGTTATTCTTGTCTTTTACTTTTTCTATTGATGCATGTAATGGGGTTTTAAGTGATACTTTTTCTCTATAGTAACTATTTTTCTGTAAAAAAAAAATATAACTCATAAGTTTTTTTTTTTTCGTAATTCTCTTCTCACTACCACCACAATCATACTAAAAAGAAATTTTTTTATAAAAGTAATCAAAATTAATAAATGTATTTAAATAATTTAAAATAAGTTAATAATTTAGTTTAAATTGTATTTTATTATTGATTTGTTTTAGTATTATGAAAATTAATCTATAAAATTAAATAATATAATATTATATATAAATTACATAAGTTATAATAATAAATAAAAATAGTGAGTAATATTTTACTATTGATTTGACATTAATTTACTTATAGAGATTAAAAATATACTTTACCTATGAAAACCATTTTAATAATAAATTAAAGTGATTTTATTTTATCAAATAAAAAATTATTAAAAATTTTGTGATAAGTGGAGAATAAACATAACTGAAAATTGCAATATATAAATTGATAATTTTAATAATATAATATAACATATATTACATTGTTTCAATATTAATTATATTGTATTACATTAAAATAATTTTTATACCGATAATTTATTTTATTTTAGTTTTATATTTTGTATATCTTTTAATTTATTTAGTAATTTTCTTTATTTATATAAAATTTTAATATTAATTTAATTAATTAAGAAACACTTTATTAATTAATAAAAAATGAAATTAATAATTAAATTAGAAAGAAACTTTAATTATTAATTGATATTTTTTTTACACACAAAATTCGAAGAATTAATATTATTAAAAAATTTAGAAGTTTAAAACGAATAATTTATCATTTAGAAATTTTGGCAAAACTTTGTTTATAATCAAAATTAAAGTAATTTCACAATAAATAAAAAGACTTGGCTGTATGAAAATTTTTAACTAGAGATAAGTGGAAATCATAATCATAATTATATTTACATGAGTTAGAAGAGTTTATCATATATATTAAATCATTATTTTATTTTCATAAAATAAAATATGAAACTTTTTCTATTACATATAAGTAAAAAAAAAAAAAACAAATACTGTAGTCAAAGCAAATCTTTGTAAAATAACATCAAGTAATAACTTATTATCTATAATCTTTATTTATTTTTTTATTAATAATCAAACAACCATATAATAATATAGTCTCAATCACAATTAAATCATCCATCACAATTATAACAACCTCTATCAACATAATTTTAATCATATTCATGTTATATGATAATAATCATAATCATAATAAGTTACATATTCAAAAATATTTATTTATTTACCATTTCATCATTCAATAACATCACAATCAACTATAAATTTTCATAATGAAAAATTTGACATAACCATTATAAAAAAATCATAAAATTCACAATTAAGATGTATAAATAGTATATACAAATAACCTTTATAATATAATAAATATACATAAAAAAAATTATAACATATAAGCAACATAGAGAAGGAATATTAAATTATTATAATTTTTTTATAAAATAAAAATTTATTCTTTATTCTTTAAATGAAGAAAAATTATAAATTCATTTTATAAAATATTAATAATTAAGAAACAAATCATTTTGATATTTTCTTAAATTTTATCAAATCATGTTTAATTTTTTTATTTATACAAAATTTAATTATTATATTTTATTTATCAAATTAACTTTAAATAAAATAATATATAAATTCGTATAATCATTACATCTTTTAAAAATACTTATCACATATGATGTGTAACAAAAAAATTTAAAACTCTTCTTATAAAAAAAAATATAAATAGAGGTGTTATTTATGATTAAATTAATAGATATTTATGTATTTAAAATATATTTACCCTATATATATATATATATATATATATATATATATATATATATATATATATAATTAGCTGGAAAGATATATTATATGAGTTTGTTAAGTTGGTTTGTATGATAACTTTAATAAAAGAAAATTATGTAAACGTGCAAAGATGTGCGACGAAAATAATATTCTACCTTCTTAATCTAATATTTTGTTTTTTAATATTTAATATCAAAATTTCTGATAAGGTTGATAAATAGAAAATATAATTTAAAAACAAAATAAGAAGAAGTTTTGAGAAATGTAATAAATAGATAAATTTTGTATAAATTATAATTCTAAAATTTAACCATTATTATATTTTTTTAGTTAATGTTGATGAAGATGAAGAATTTGCTTGAATTAAAGTAGGATTATAATGTGATAAATAATGAATAGTGTTTATGTTTTTCCATAATAGTTGAATATTATTAAATAAGTAAATTTAATAATGTAAAAATAAAAAGAATTTAAGTAATTAATCAAAATATTGTGGGCATAATTCTTGGTAAGAGTTTGGCAAAATTTATTTAGAATTCTATAAAATAGAACATAAGGATCCATAAAGGTGAAAAGAGTTTAACTATAAATTTTACGAAGATAATTTGAAATTCTTGTTATGAAGATGATGATTTTATAGATGAGTATTTTACATAAATATTGACGAATACAAATAAAAATAAAACGAAGATATATAGAATAAAATAATTTACAATTATGAAGAAAATTTTGAGATTTATTAAAACACGATTTAATAATACGATAAGTTTAATCAAACAATCCAAAAATGTTCAAATTATAACAATTATAAATTATAATGTAATTTTTTAGTTTATGAACAAATAATGAGAAGGTGTAGAAAGGAAGACAAACCTTGTAGATCAAGAGGGAACAAGATAGAAATAAACAAATTGATAAGATTATTGTAGAATGTTTCAATGGTACAAATTAGGACATTTTTAATATGAATGTCCCAATTAAAGAAAATGCAAAATATGAAGAATTTGATGAAGAGGAAGAGATGACCCTTATGTTTTTGGTGAAGACAAGAAAGAAATTGATGAAAATAAAACTTGGTTTCTTGATTTGAGTTGTAATAATCACATGTGTGGTTGTAAGGAGTACATTTTTTATTTATTTGGACGACAACTTTTTAGAATTTGTAAACTTTAAGGAAGTGTTACATGGAAGATTGTTAGGATCACACAAGTGATTTCTGATTATTATATATTCCAAAATTCAAGAACAATTTGTTGAGTATAGATTAAACCCAACAGAAAAAATCTCATTGTTGTGTTCTAATATGACATTTATAAAGTCTTCCATGTTTATAAATGTCTTATCATATTAAGTCTAATTGTTGTAGATGCTCGTATAATATCTTCAACTTGTCTGAAAGTGGAAAAAAAATTACACTACATACCTATCACATTACAAGTATGGTCAACTTGGTGTCAAAAGTTTAAGAACTCTACTTCATAAATAACTAGTTAAAGAAAGATTTCTTAATGGGAAACAACATAGATAGGCTATTCCAAAGAAAATTTCATGAAGAGCTTTTAAGCATCTAAAACTCATCCATTCTGAAATTTGTGGTCTAATCAAACTTGATTCAAACAGTAAAACCTTTATTGATGATTTCAATAGAAAAACATAAGTATATTTTCTTTCTAAAAATCATGGTTGAGAAAGAATCTAATGACTTCATTTATTTTCTAAGAACTTATGGAGGAGGAGAGTTCAAATCAATTATTGAATAAGTTTTGTGATAATAATGATATTAAAAGGTAGCTTACTATAACAAATACTCCTCAACAAAATTGATGGTAGAGAAAAAACAGGGCAATCATGTACATAGTTAGAAGTATGTTGTTGGAGAAGGAAGTTCTTCAAGAAAATCTTGCCAGAAATAATGAATTGACTAGTCTACATGTTAAATAAGAATCTAACTTTAGTAGTGTAAATGTTGCATCTTAAGAAGTGATCTCAAACCTTCACTAAAACACTTTAAAGTATTTAATTGTATGTCTTTTTACATGTACATGATGCTCAAAGGGAAAAGTTGAATTTGAAAAATATCATGTTTGGAGGAAAGCTATGGATGTTGAACTATTGATGAAAAAATCACACACGAAAGCTTACTACACTTCCTCGTAGTACTAAATTTGTAAGAGTGAAGTGGACTAATAAGACCAAGTGTAATGAAGATGGAAAGGGAGAAAAATACAAAACTAGACTAATGAGAGAGGGGTATAACATCGTGAAATTTATTATAATGAAGTGTTTATTCCTATTACCGAGTGAGATACAATTATAATCATTTTATCTTAATTACTAGGTTTGAGTGTATTGCAACTTGATGTTAAAAGTATTTTTCCTAATGTGATAAGTCATTAGAAACAAAGTTTTTTTTTTTTTATCAGCAAAAGAAAATATATTAAAAATTGCTGCACCAGAGGTGCAATTTATATCGTTTGATTACAAAAGAGAGGTTTCTGGTTGTCTACATGTCAAATATCCTCTGTCTAATGATTCTCCATCCACAAAAATACTATGTGAGTTATAACCGATTGTTAATTGGGTCTTCTTAATGTAGGGATTCCCCTCCAAAATATGCATACTTATACAACCTGACTTATTTTAACAAAGATTAATCACTTTACAAGATAGTTCATAGTCTTCATGTTTTCCTCTTTATCATACATTGGTCAAAGCATACATTCGGTTGTACTCTCGAGTTACTCCTTCAAATTTGGTGTGTAGCCACATCCTTATCTTAATTTGAACCATTTCAAATATTTCCATCTCTGGTTTGCTCCCTGCTCTGAATACATTTTCATTCCTCCATCGCCATATTCCCCGTATCATTGCAACCCATATAGAAACAAAGTGAAGAAAGCAAGGTATACAAGTTGTGAACGATCCTGTATGACCTAAAACAATCCCCTTTGACTCAATCATACTTTATCACTCAGGATTTTGAAATATATTCTCATGAACATACTTTGTTTGTTAAAGAACATATGCACAGCAATAACTACTAGTAAATCTTTATGCAAATTATATAATCAACATTAAAAATGAGAAGTTGTTTGATGAATTTAAGAAATCTATGTAAAAACAGTTTAACATATGATAAATCGTTAGAGTTGAACCTTGTTCTTATATGATCTAATCAATTTAATCTGACACTAGTCATATATTTTCATTATTCAACTTATTGGACAACATGAGAAAATAAAAAATTACGTTCTTCGTTTTTATCTATCCAAACGATGGAAGGACAAAGCTTTTGATGTTCCTTCTAATCGAGAATTAAGATCTCACAATGAATAATCATATGTTTATTTTTATCTCATATTTTTTCTTTGTTTAGTATTTAATATTTCAATGTTCTAAAACTAAAATATTTATTAGGATGAAATCGATAATTAAATTGTCAATTAATCTAGTTCTTTTTGGAAGTCACAAGACAATCAATATAAAATTTTATTTTCTAAAAAATCTTATTAAAGATGGTTGAAAAGTATTTAGCAGTCTTAAAAGAATGGTTAAAAATTATCTAATTATACCATTAATACCGATTTCTTTATGTGTCTTTTTTAAACGTTAATTTTATTTTTTTTTCTATTAGGAGAAGTGTCTTATAATTCTTTCAGTTTGTTAAGTTGGTTTGTACGGAAAGTTTAACCTGTAAAAGAACATAACATAATGTACAAAGGTGGATAATGAAAATATAGTATTCTCAGTTCTTAATTCAACATCATTTTGTTTCTTAACTACGTAGTAGGTTCCATATTCTTCTCCTGAAAGTTCCTTTACTGCATACACAAAATCCTCTAATCTGTCTTGGAAGTACTTGAGCTTCCATCCTGCCAAGTTGCTTGCCATTGTTGATCATAAAATGTAATCTCTTCCCATAGCTTCAGAAGAGTTCCAATGTCCTCCTTCTTTTGGACAACAAGTATTCCAGTCACTGCTGTGAAAAGAAGAGTTTTGCAGAAGAAGTTGCTCATTTGTTCAGCTATACCAACTCCAGTCAAGCTATCAACGAGATAGGCCATAAAAAACCCTAGCATTGCAGCACGACCTGCATGATACTCAAAGAAAGATTCATCGTATTTTTGTCGTAGTAACACAGAAATCAAAGCTAAAGACTAACCATTAAGTAGTTCAGCTTCAGGAAGATAAAACCTTTCCATCCATGCCCACCATGGAATAACAGACGAGGTAAAAAGTACAGGATTGTCATTAGTGCATGATTCTGGATTGTCCTCAAGCCTTTTTCTTCTCTTAACCTCTGACAAAAATACATAACACAATGAAAAATTAAAAAAACTACAGTAAATTACAAGGATTACTTGAATATATGTTTAAAATTTTCAGATTTGAACAAGTTGGGATTAAAAATGTAGGAAATACTACAGATTATGATGCAAAATGTAGGAAAGGAATTCAAAAACTGACCAGCATCAATAACAGCATCCCAATCAATGATTCCAGTTTTCTTAAACTGTTTCAAGTCCCATGTCCCTCCGACCCATCTTGGGTCCTCAAAAGCTGAAGCTGAGGCTGCAACCTCGTTGTCTGCTGAAACCTTCAAGGGGGAAGGGAGAAGCAAAGCGTTGTTGGGTGGGAGAGTGGTGAAGGGGTTGCAGATGAAACCAGTTTTGGAATAGAGTGAGAAATGGGAGGGAGGAAAAAACGAGGCCATGGTTGTTGTCACTGCTAGCTCGCACTGTGCATTGAAATTTGAAACCGAACATGGTCACTTTTTATGGTCTCATCACAGCCTCAGTAATGAGCACGTGTAAATGTCAGATGAACAACACAGTAAATCATACGTGTCATCACCATGCACTGAGTTAGTACACATCCATCATCAATCACACACTGCACCAAAGTTTGGTGTGTACTTTTTAATTCGGAAAAAATATTTTCACACCACTATTTACACAAACAATAATATAAACAACTTTATTTTATATTATAATAATAATTTTAATTATTTTTTATTTTTATTTAAACTCTTTCATGATTATTATATTAATAAAAAACTCCATTTTATATTATAATAATAATTTTAACTATTTTTTATTTTTATTTAAACTCTTTCATAATTATTATATTAATAAAATGAGTTATTTTTTGGATTGTTTTTTCCTTTGATTGTCAAAACATTATCACCCTTTCAACTTGTGTGATTTACTATTTATTTAAATAAAATCTTGCAATTGTAACATGTAGTTTTATTAAGCTGTTTTATTTAAAATTGGAATATGATTATAAATCTATTTAAGTATTTAGATAAAATGACGAATATTGTTAAAAAAATTTAACATTTTAAAAATGATAAATATTTTAAGATACACAAAAGATTTAAAAATAGATTAAAATAAGAAACACAAAAAAAAAACTAAAACAAAAAAGCAAAAGGAAGTAACTGATTGCATGGCCCAATCCAACCCGTGGGCCCAGTCCAAAGTCAGATATGACTGTTCACACCCCTTCTTCCTTTTTATATTTATTATGTATCAAAGCCGAATACATAAAGAAAAAGTAGTGCTTCATGATTAAGACTTAAATAGAAAAAATGAAATTAAGTTTCCTTTTCCTTTATTCATTCTATTAGTCTATTACGAAATAATTTAGCATTCATTTGAGGATTTTATGAAACTAGGAAACCCAAATGCACCCAATTAAGTTATTGAACTTTTTGAATATGTAATGCTCTCTAAGCTTGTAGGACCAAACTAATCTTGTGTTTGACAATGACATCCACAACCTCTCTTGCTTTCTATTATTTTCTATCCCACTACTGAGTGCAAGATAACTAGGGTAGGTTCTTGAATAGGAGAGAAAATGGTTGTTCTTTTCATGGCTACATTTTATGGAATTTTATTCATATGTAATATATCTATGAGGAAACTACCTATTGATTCAAATTGGTACTTTGTATTATATATGTGTATAAGCACTTTGTAGTAGTATTATATATCATCATGGATCTTAAATTAATAATTAATATTTATTTACAATAATATTAAAAAATTAAAGTTTCTAACCAAAGGTTTTATGGTGTATGTATGGAATGTAGACAAAGAAAGAGAGTGTCCAAATGGACGTCACGGGTTGGATTAAGAAGCACCTACTCCAATACTATATTGAATTACTTAGTTTAACTTATTTTCAGACGTAAAACATAAATATTACGAAATTAATATAGTTTTTAAAAAAATCAATATTTAATATTTTCAAATATACGTTTTATATAAAATTTTATTGATCTCTTAAAAGTTTATGAAATTGATAATCTTATCTTAAAAACAATGTAACCCTTCATTTCAAAAAAACAAAAACAAAAGACAACCATCGGTCTTTTGTTTCTCACAGCAAAAGACTCTTATTTTTACATCAGTATTACGTAACTCTTGTGAATTAAAGTGAGATACAGACTACGGAAAAGAAAAAGACAAAAGTGAAAGAGAAAAGGTTCTTTCACTATATCAATAATGTCAGTATATAAGATATTAACAAATAATGTCACTATATGGGGAGACTGGATGCATTAATCTGGAAAACCTCGTGTGTATCGTTATGATTATATTTTTTAGGGTTTATATCTTTAAGAAGATTTGATTGTATCCAGTTACAAGTTGTGCTTGTACTAAACTAAACTGAGTGGAGTGGGTGCGTTTCAACTAAAGGTAACAACTAGATATTTAAGTGACTTCATGTGTGAAACAAAAATTTAATCCATTTTTATCTCATTATTTCCATTCCTTCATCTTTTAATATATTTTGTAATGTTAAAATTTAAGTAGGTAATTTGATTATGGTAAAAGGTATTATTTTAGGCAATAATGTGGTTGCATGTTCTTCCAATATTTATGTCATCTCTGTTTTTAATTGAGGGGAACATCAAACACTTATCATTTGATCCTGAACTGGCACATGGTAGATTGTGAACATAGTCGTAAGTCTGCATATTTGAATCTATAAGCATTACTAATATGGAATTTGAAGAAAGAAAATTATGGGGATGAGATGGATACATGGTGGAAGAGTATCTACTTTCTTTCCATTATTTTGTTTGGTCAAAATTTCTGACAGGACCCCGAACCTTGAGTTAACTTAAGCTACAAGTGCATATATCATGGAAAAAATAGTTACAAAATAGAACAAAATTAGGCCTTTCTCCATAATAATAAGAAATTGGTTCTAATATATGATATAATGACCCTGGCCCTCGAGGGGTCAATAGGGTCTACATGTACACATCATTATTCCAATCTTCTTGCATAGTCCCAGTTAAAGAAAAAAAATGCTACCACCTAGCCCTCAGACCTGTACTATATATAGGAGTACATGTTTGCTTTTCTATTCCATAAAGATTTTGTTCATAGTTATTCCTGCTTCACTTATGTGCTATAGTTTCTAGCATTGATCAATCCTAATACTTGTTGCATCTTTTTTTTCCCTTCTGTTTGACACTTTATCATTTAACATGGAGCTTAATTTTAAGCACCAACTTGGCCTTCTCTGTGTCACACTGCTCTTACCTGCTCTGTGCACCTCTCAGGACTCTTTTACTTGCTCCAGAGCAACCTATTATGGTAGCCCAGATTGTTACGGAAATTCAAGTATGTGCCTTCTTTTCTTTCTATTCTTGCACTTGTAGATGTATGGTGTGTACATCAAATAATGGACAAAAGTTGCATAAATCCATTGCATCCGTGTCATCAAATTCATTTAAATGATGACATATAGATGCTATTTGCATTAGTATTTAATTATAACTGTTATATGTATGCATATCTTATAAGTTCATTAATTTTTATCATAATTACTTTAAGAATCATGTTTTTATTAGATATAACCGTGTAATTTCTTTTTACACATGATTAGGATATATTCAAACTGCAATCACTTTATTTCTGAAATAGGGAAAATTTGTTTGAAGAATTTTCTTGTGGACATGCATGTTCCTCCTTTACGATAAAAGGAAAGGCAGAGTCTGAACAATAAAACTGTCCAAGCCAGACACTATATACTACATTTGAACACACATGATCTGATTGGTCAATTAATAATGTTTTAGGGGGAGCTTGTGGTTTTGGCGAATATGGAAAAACAGTAAACGATGGCAGTGTCGCAGGCGTGTCTTGGCTATGGAAGAATGGTTCTGGCTGTGGGGCATGTTATCAGGTTACTGTACTCAATAAATCACTTTAAATTTATGGACCAACTAAGAAAAATTACACTGTTGTAGCCTTTTTCATTTTAAAATATTAGCACCTCAAAACGTGCTTCTTTCAAGTAAAAATATTCAAGTAGTACATCAAGAATCTCGATTATCTGATCCTTCAAAGCATACGTATGAGAATATCGTTCCTTTCTATCAATAATAATATAAATTATCAATAAAATCGTTAGTGAAAGAAAACTTCATCATTGAAACATAATATAAAGGAAAAAATTTGCCAAACTCCACCAGTAGTTGCTTTATTTGTGAAATAAAAAGGGTGATAGTGATGAATAATCAGGTTAGGTGCAAAATACCACAATTCTGCGATGAGTATGGAGCATACGTAGTGGTGACAGATTATGGTGAGGGAGACAGAACAGACTTTATAATGAGCTCACGTGGCTACTCAAAATTGGGGAGAAACACCGATGCATCTGCAGAGCTATTCAAATACGGTGTAGTGGATGTAGAATACAGAAGGGTCCCCTGTAGATACGGTGGGTATAACCTCTTGATTAAGGTTCATGAACACAGCAGAAACCCTCACTACTTGGCCATTCTCATTCTCTATCATGGTGGAACTTACGACGTCACTGCTGTTGAGTTGTGGCAGGTATAAGCAAATACCAAAAAATTTTATACAACTACACACAATCATACTAAGTTATGGAGAGTAAATATATTGTTATTTGAATCAGAAATTTAACATTAAAGGGGTATAAAGGTACAACATTTGTACCATGTACAATAAGTTGGATAATGAGAGATGTTTATATTGAATTACTTTTCTTGAAACTGAATTGGGTTCTTGAAATGATAATGGAATAGGAAGAGTGCCAAGAGTGGAGGCGAATGCGTAGGGCATTTGGGACTGTGTTTGACGCTGAGAACCCACCAAGGGGTGACATCAAGTTGAGGTTCCAATTGAGTGGTAATGCAGAGCAGTATTGGGTGCAATCCAAGAATGTTATCTCTGGCAATTGGGAGGCTGGAGCTGTTTATGACTCAGAAGTTCAGCTTGGTTAAAAGGAAAAGACATTTTCTGATTTAATGAATATTGTAATAGGCAGTGACTAGATTGCTAGTGTTTTACCGTTAATGGTTTGTGTAATTCTGAGAATGTTCCTTTGTGGTAAGTGGATCTAGTGATCTTTGTATTGGGGACTAAAACTGTTGGAATTCATGTACTTTCCATATTAATCATCACAGAATAAATAAAAAGTTTAAAGTCTTACATTTTACTGAGAATGATCAAGTCAGGTAATTTAGACTAAAAGAATAATGAAAGTATTGAACGGGAAGTTCTCTCTCTTTAATCACCCTAAGCTCTATATAATATTTTTCCATGAAAAAAATTATAAGAATGACCTTCAATACTGAACAACCTTGTTAAACAAAAAGAAAAAACAAACTGGTAATTACATGAGAAAACTTTGAAGAAATGTGACTAAATAAAATTTCTCCTTGCGTATAACACAGGATCTATAGAAGCAAATTTTGTGTTTTTAGCTTCAGTAACACTATATATAAAACGCGTTCACAATAATGGCTAAGCAATACACAAACGTGGTGACCAATCAATTTGCTGCCATTTCCTCTATTTTACAACAGTGATCACAACACTCCTCTTCCTTACATAATCATCATTCACAAATACCTTACACTTCGAAGCATACTCACCTAAAAAACCAGAATATTTGGCGGCATATATAATAATATAAAGAATCACCCATGACAATGCGATATAATATCTAAACAATATTACAGTTCACTTTGAATATACTTGAAGAAGCAATAAAAAGAAACAAATGCATCGACCCTTTTCACAAGTAAAATCCAATTTACATCCCTCAATTTTTATAGAAGTTGGATGAGAATTTCTGTAAAAGTCAAATTGCATAAATTCTGATTGATTTATAAACAACTTTAATGTATTTTCTTTTTTTATTATTTTCTCGTATAAATATTTCAAATTTATTCAAACAGAGTATTTTGTGGATATTAATGAAGTTTGCACTATACTGCAAAAAAACACGATTCCATTAATCAACATTATTATTGGCCATCAGTACATCCTGCCGGTACATTCCGCAGAACCACAGTAGCAATACTTCTTTTTTATATTGCCATCGCAATCACGGACTTGATCTATTTCGTAATTGTAATCGTAAGTAAGCTCTTGCAAAGGAGGAATGTTATCAGCAGCAAAGAACATTATGTGAGGCATTCTGGTGTCATGATGATCATAAAGAACGTTCTGAGCAATTAAATTAGGGGAGCAACTATGGTTAATGAATCTCCCCACATTGCCAAACTGAGCAGCATCAATAGTAAAACCACCATCCCTCACAACAGCGCAGGAACTTGTCTGTGCATCTGGCATGAGAGTTGAAAGTCCATCCCAGAGAGTACTGTTGCTGTAGTTATTTCCAATATCAAAAAGATACTCATCATTACCTGCCCTTTGTTCAGCTTCCTTTTCTTCAAGAAGCTCTCCTATATATTCACAGATATAACTTCCGGAAGGGATAGAATTCAGGGATCTCACACCCCATCCCCTTGTATTGGTTTTAAATATTTCAAGTTGAAACTTTATCCCAAGTTGGCTGACTCTGTTATGGCACGTTGAAGGGCACTTACAAGCAGGTCCACACTCATAGACTAGAGGCTTTGCTTGTACAATAGCCTCATTGTGATTGAATGGAATCTCTCCCCCGTTTTTCACTACACACGAACATTTCTCCAAATCTGAGCATCCATTAACACAATCACATCCTTCGGCAGGAAGGACATGGCAATTGGGGTATATCATGCTAGTTATGTAATTAAACTGAGGAGGTTTTTCATCATCTATGGTGTTCACAGCACATATGGAAATTCGTTCTTTTCCAAAAGAAATATCAGCAACACATACACCTTCTCTAATCTTGAACTTTTTAGATTTCTTCACTTCTCTCAAAGGAAGCTCTGGTTGACCACTTTCTCTTTGCATGCAAAACCTAAAAACCAGTTTCCCGTGTGGTCCGACATCATGCCGAACGCTCTCAACTATATACAGTCCATCATAAACATAAGTCTTCCATTTTCCATCCATTGATTCAGAGCCACGAATCACCCTAACAGGTTTCTTTTCAACACAACTGTTCGACAAAGCAAGATTGCCCCGCTCAAGCTTCTGATCTTCAGGTTCTTTATCACTGCTCATCACATTTCCACCCTGCCCTGTATATATCAATACATCCGGATTATCCAAATCATCAGCATAGGCCCCAGAAGCAACAATACTGGTTGCAAAGATTTTACCATTGTGCTTCACATAATCTATTCCACCTTGAGTCGGTCGATGAAGGCCAACTATATTAAGCTCCACTCTATATTGAAATTCATCACCAACTTCAATCCCAGGGACACTGCCTAGTATCTTCTGGCCTGAGTTGACATATTTTCCATTCTCCCTAAGGATCCTTGCAGCAATTAAATCAACCCGCTTACTATTTGCTCGCTCATTTAACTTTGATTCTACTTCCTGTAAAAGCTTTCTACAAACAACTTGAAACAACCGTAATGTTTCCCTCACCCTTTTTCGGGTCAAATTTGGGTCATTCTCATCACCAGTGAAATGAGAATGAGAAGATGGTGTAATGTTTACATCAAGCTCATTTGATTTCAGAACAATTTGAAGATCATTATTATTTTCATTAGGATCAAGACAATCCTCCTTTTCCCAAAGTTCGAATTCACCCACACTTTCAGAAGCAGGATTTCCCTTTTCCTTTTTCAAAGACTTCTTCCCAAAATGATTTCGAGCACCTTTAGTCTTGATATCAGTTTTAGATTTGTCAGGCAATGCAAAAGAATCCACTTTCTTTCTCTTGCCTTTATTGTTACCATCAACCAGCTTAAATTTGGAGGAACCTTTATCAGACCTCCACGGACATTCTGAATCAGCCATCAAACCTAGTATTACTTTCCTGTCTGATGAGACCTCCAATCTATTTAAATTCCCTTTCAGCTTATGCTTAGAACGAGATATATTGAAAGGCTTTATCTCATCCTTATTTTTCTCTACCACCGCCTTGGAATGTATCCTAACCTGATGAGGATTACTTTTTTCAGGGAGTGTAGCATACTTTTCTCTCTCAATTTCCGGTGACTTGTTCATCTCAGATGACAGTTCACATGCACGCAGTTTCTTTCCTCTCTCTGTAGCATTTCTTACGGAATCAGTTTGATCGATGTCAACAAGCTTTCTCTTGCAAACAGATTCATCTTGAATGCTACTTTTACCTTCTTTTACATCAGTGGCTGCAAACTTTTTCAATTGATTGCGATCCACAGCCAGATTCTGTTGACCTTCAATATTGTTATTCAAAGAAGAGGTCCCCTCGAGACATACATCCTTGTCCTGACTAAAACGTGGAGGATTTCGCCCACATAAACGAGGGAAGTCTCTCATAGCTGAAACTTTTCTTTGCGGAAGATACCTTCTTGTTACAGGCTCTAACATGTAAGCACAGGAAGCAGATATATCGGCATTGGATAATAAGGGTTTTGAACCACCTGACACAGCCATCTCACCTACTGGAGATGATGACTTCAACATATAAGAGGAGTCACATTTTACAATGTTTGTAGTTTGGGCAAACTCTGCATTCAAAGTTTCCCGGTCTACTAAAGTAACTTTTGCAGGTTCATCTTCTACAGTAGGCTCATCCACTTGATAAGATGAGACCATATGGTTTTCCTTATTCAAACCACAGTTAGTTGTTTGGTGAACAGTCACTTCTACAATAGACCCATCCACTTGATGTGACGAGACCTCAGGATTTTCTAGATTCAAACTGCAATTCTTTGTTTGGCCAAGCATCAGTTTCGCAGGGTCATCTTCTGCAATAGACCCATCCACTTGATGTGATGAGACCTCAAGATTTTCCAGATTCAAACTGCAGTTCTTTGTTTGGCCAAGCATCAGTTTGTCAGGGTCATCTTCTGCAGTAGACCCATCTACTTGATGAGATGAGACCACAAGCTTTTCCTGATTCAAACTGCAATCAGTTGTTTGGCTAATAGTCACTTTTGCAGGTTCATCTTCAGAAGTAGACCCATCCATTTGATAAGATGAGACAACAGGGTTGTCCTTATCCAAACCATTGTCAGTTGTTAGGCCAAGAGTCTCTGTAAAAAGCAAATCTTTTGCCTCAGAATGCCAACCATCATTTTCACAGGTGGAAGTTTTAAAAGTAGCACCCCCTAAATGATCATCATTCTTAACCTCGACAATTGGACCATTAACAGAACCACAGCCCTCAGTATTTATGTTAAACACTTGATCAATCCTTGAAGCAAATGGTCCACATCCATCTGGGAAATCACGAACGGCGGATACTTTACGCCGCTTATACACCGGCCCGGCCAGGAAAGTGTAACCCCCATTTTCCATCAATGACTTGTCATATCCTTTTTCTCCAGAATGACCATTATTAGCTGGTGTTGCCATTTCTCTCTATGACTCTGGACTCAGCACAATCTTCAAACAAGAGATGGCAAAAATTACAGGCACTAATAAAGAAAAGTGTTCAATTTAGAAAAAGAAAGCAGTGATGGTTTCCGTATAGATTATCAACTCAATCATAACTTTCATGGAAAGAATAAAAAAGTAAAGCGGTAATTCAACAAAAACTATACGGGTAGCTTTAGCAAGCGGCTACACATCTGTAGAACAGTCTGTGGAGAAGCCATTCAACATTGCAATGCACTTTCGATTCCCGTTATATACTCTTTCCCCTTCCCAAGGGGTTAAAGTAAACCTCTATAATCTAATGCGGTTGAAGAGACAACGATCAACAATCGTAGCATATAAACATAGAGAAAGAGAAGCAGTATACATGCAAAGTGGATGAATATTAGGGTATGAGAAGATGGTACCTTGGGCGAAATCCCTTGGGGAAGAGCAGAAATAGGAATAACTGAAAATCGGAAAGTTTCAGTTCCCAAACTCTAATGACATCCTGAAACATAATGCAAAATTGAAATCGGCAGAACCAAACAAAAAAAAAAAAAAAGAGAGAAAGAAAATGAAAACAAGATTGAGAACATGAAGTGGTTACCTAGGAACCCTGGCCTTGGAGGGCGAACTTCGGGCAGAGAGAGGATTCGGAATGCAAGAGTCACACGAGGAAATGGTTGTTTTTATCTTGTTTTACTAAGATGTAATTTTTTTATTTATTTTTAAGAGATTTAAATGTTTAATAAAATTTGAATTTTTGTTTGGAAGGATCAAATTATAACGTTACAGATCTTTATTAATTGTTATGTCATGAAAAATTTATATAAAAAGTCAATTTCATCAATTTAATAATAAAAAATTATACTTTTTATATATTTATATCAACATTTAGTAATAACTAAAGATAATAAATTGTTCATATTTTAATATTAAAAATCATATATTTCATTATATTACATATAAGAGGCATCAATAATTTTATATTAATAAAATATTGAATAAATAATCCACAAATTTTAATTTAACTAAATTTTTAAAAATTATTATGTTAAAAGTTATTGAAAAATATAGATTTTATTTTTCATTTTTAATAACTTTTTATCTCAAAAATATTATTAAATTACTTTAATTCATTTTATATTGTGGAAAAATTAGGTATGTTAAAATAAAATCTATGAATTAATGGTGATTATTTTTAATTATTTGAAATTTTAATTATATTTTATTTTTTATTTATTATAATAATTTAAGAGAAATTAAAAAAATAATTATTCTAATGTGATAAAAAATTGATAAAATATTATATTTAATATGCAAGAAATAAATAAAAAATATTGTTCTCAAACTTATTAGTACCTGAACTATGACAAGTTCTAACGGTACATGATAATTAAAGAAATATAGATTATTAAAATAAGTGTTTCCAATCATAGTTAAAAAATACTTCACAAAAGTTAGGGGAGAGGTCTTATGAAAATCTAGAAGTAGAATAAATTATAACAATAAAAAAATAAATATATATCTTGAAGTGGTAAGATTATATAATATAATATGGGTGTCAATTGTTAAATTAAATTATACTATTCAATTCATTAAATATATATATATATATATATATATATATATATTATAAAAAAAATCTCTCTTAGAAAAATTTACTAGACTAAAAGAGAAAAAAAGATCATATATGTAGTGTAATATATTATTGATAATATATATAAATGATTGATGTAGTATTAATATAATATAATTTCTCAATAAATTAAGATATCGATTAAAATTATCAAATTGATTCACTTATTAATTATAAAATTTTTAAATTCATTACTTATAAATGGAATAGCTGTTTTAAGGATTTGATTGAAATATCACGAGAAAATAAAAAATAAAATAATAATTAATAATTACAAATTTTGTAATTGAAAAATTATGATAAAATTAAATACAATAAAATCTGAAATTAATTTAATTATGATTGTAAAATTTGTAATTTATTATTATTATTATTATTTTAATCCTCTAATGAAAGTACATTATTACTGTTTATAGGAGTGAAATCCTTATTTATTTATTTTTTTCTTGGAAATTATAACTTCTTTATATATTCCTAAAAGTTCATCCATTGCAAAAAACTGCTTTTTATATTTATAAAGTTCTAGAGGTACGGTTATTGGTGAATGTATTTTATAAATTTAATAAAAAAAATTTTTAATGATGGTTAAAAATCATATTGTGTTAAAATAAATTATCTTTAAAACCATTCAAAACTCAAATTATTTTCCTAGTCTTTACTGGCCCAAATTACTATCCAAGCCTCTTTTCCATTTTATCAATTTTTAAATATTTAAAAAAAAAAAAAAAATATATATATATATATATATATATATATATATATATCGTTAAAAACATTATTTCATCCAATATTATTAAATCATAAAAATATGGATAAACATTTAAAACTTAATCAAATTTAATAAAATAATATTTTTTTAATATAATAAATTTTTTTATAAAAAAATAATAAATATTATTATCACGATAACTATAAATTATAATACACATTACAAATATAATATATTATAAGATAAATAATTATTAAAATAAAATAATAATTATTTAAAATTAATGTACCTCATATAAAATAAAAAATAAAATATATTATATTTTTTAACAAAATTTATGATCTTATTTTTTTTATAAAAAATAATTTTTTTATCATGATTATCATAAATTATAATAAAAATTATGAATACAAAATATATTTATAATAAATAATTGTTAAAATAAAATAAAAATATAATAAAATAATTATTATTTAAAATTAATATAACTTATGTGAGATAAAAATAAAAAAATATATTATATTTTTTATAAAAAATTTATATTAAAATTTTTTTATTTTTTATTTTTTTATCAAAATTGATTTAACTTAAAAAGGTTAAGTCAATTTTTTAATTTTATTTAAATTTAATTAAAAATTATTTTTTAACTAATCCAATTAAACCTATCGGATTTTTAAAATAGTGATTTCATCACCAAATTTTAAAAAATAATGTTATTCTATAACCAACTCTTTAATATTAAAAAGAATAATCATAAAATGTAGAAAACTTGAATAACAAAATTATAACAGTGGAGTTAGTGAAAATACAAACGTGTGCCCATTTGTTGTTTTATACTTGTTATTTTTAAAAATATTATTTTAACTTCTTTTTTTCATTTTTAAAATACATATTTTTATTATTTTTAAAACACATAATCCATAGTTTGTAGTAACTGTTTTTTCTTTAAATTATAATTTTTTTCTCCAATAATATAAAAAATGGTTTCAAAAGAAATTTTGTTTACCTATAATTAGAAATAAACTAACTGTGGGAAATCAAATAGTATTTTAGGAAAGAATAAATCGGGAAATGTGTATATTTCCTTGTAATCTGTCATGCATTTGAATAATTAGGAACAATCCCATAAATCAAGGGATCCTAGCATAAAATAGAGTTATTATATTTCCTAAAATAGCTTAGGTCTCCTGTATATATCTTATATCATCTCTTTGTATTAAAATAATAAAAATCATATTTCAGTCAATCTATTTTTCAAGATGGTATCAGAGTTTCCGATCTAGGAAACTCTGTCTGCGCGCAATAAACCCTAAGACGGCAGTCTGCATTGCTGCTGCATTTTTCTTAACCCTAAGACGGCAGCCTGCATTGCTGTTGCATTTTTCTTAACCCTAAGACGGCAGCCTGCATTGCTCGTCGCATTTTTCTTAATCCTAAGACGACGACTCGTATTGTTGTTGCATCACACCTCCTTGCTATGATGTCAAGGGAAGAGGAAGTTGTGAATTCAAACCCGAAACAGGGAATACCCAATCCCAAGCAACTGGAGAACTGCAGAATATTCATTCGCATATAGACTAAATGGAAGAAATTATTTGAAGTGGGCCCAACTTGTTCGTACGAGTGTTGAAGGAAAAGGGAAGTTGAGTCACCCGATGGAGTCCGGACCTAAACAAGAGGATCCCAAGTTTACTACATGGGATGAAGAAGATTCAATGATCATGGCGTGGCTGTGGAATTCAATGATTCCAGAAATCAGTGACACCTGCATGTTCCTTAATTCGGCAAAAGATATTTGGGATGTTGTAGAGCAAACCTACTCTAAAGCCAAAGATGCTGCTCAATTATATGAAGTAAAGGTGAAAACTTTGGCAGCAAAACAAGGGAACAAGACTGTTACAGAATATGCCAATCAGCTGAAATCATTGTGGATGGAGCTAGACCATTATAGAGTCATAAAAGCCAAATGTACTGAAGATTCAACACTTCTCAAGGAGTATATCGAACAAGACAGAGTTTATGATTTCCTTGTTGGTTTGAATCCTGAATTTGATCAAGTTAGGATTCAAATATTGGGGAAGCAAAAGGTACCATGCCTCAATGAAATGGTAACTATTGTGAGAAGTGAAGAAAGTAGAAGGGGTCTCATGTTAGAGAGTCCCGCAGTAGAGACTTCAGCAGTGGACCATAAAGGAGATCAGACTTTGGCCATGGTAACCAAACAGAAGAAAGGAGGATCAGCAAATGTGGAGAAGAAAGGTGATGGTCTCTGGTGTACCTACTGCAATAAACCTCGTCATACCCGAGAGAAGTGTTGGAAGTTACATGGGAAGCCTTTAAATCGAGATCGAGAAGGAGGACACAAAGGAGGCTCCTCAAGGAAAGGAGGACAAGTTTATGTTGTCTGCTGAAACAAATGAAGGAAATAATCCGGAAGTTGTTGTCCATCTTAATCAAGAGGAGATAGAAAGGGTGAGAACCTTTCTTAGTAAGCTGGAAAAACCCACGGGTGTGTGTTCTTTGGCATACCCGGGTAAGTTTCCATTTTTTTTGGATTAAATGTCTCGGATACACCTTTTAACCATTATTGGATATTGGACTGCGGAGCCACAGACCACATGACACCATTAGCCAAACACTTCTCCACATATTCCCCATGTCCCAGCAACAAGAAAATTGTCACAGCAGATGGAACCCTTATAACTGCAGCTGGTCAAGGAAATATCCAAATCAATCCTTTAATAACCTTAAAAGATGTTCTCCATGTCCCAAAGTTATCCACCAACCTAGTCTCTATACAAAAACTTATAAAGGATTTGTCATGTAAAGTTGTTTTTTCAACGATCATTGTGTATTTCAGGACAAGGAGTCGGGGAGGATGATTGGACATGCTAGAGAATGGAATGACCTTTATTATCTCGAAGATCTAAGTCTGCCCAGCAAGAACAAAATCTCTCACTCCTTCATATCTGAATCCTTGATGACCAATAGAGAAAAGACCATGCTTTATCATTGTCGGTTGGGACATCCCTCTTTTGGAGTGATCAAAATTATGTTTCCCTCTCTGTTTACCAAGTTAGATGTTGAGAGTCTTCATTGTGAGGTGTGTGAACTTGCTAAGCACAAGCGTGTATCTTTTCCAATAAGTAATAAAGTTAGCAATTTCCCTTTTTATCTTGTTTATACTGATGTATGGGGACCTTCTAATATTCCTAATGTGTCTGGTGCTCGATTGTTTGTCACCTTTATAGATGATTGTACAAGGGTCACTTGGGTTTTCCTACTTAAACAAAAATCAGAAGTCAGTTCTGTCTTCCTAAACTTGCACTCCATGATAAAAAATCATTTTGGTGCCAATATTAAGAGACTTAGGTCAGATAATGCCAAAGATTACTTCAATCATGTCCTTAGTTCTTTTTGTCAAAAAGAAGGTATAATTCATGAGTCCTCTTGTGTCAAAACACCACAGCAGAATGGGGTCGCAGAGAGGAAAAATTGACATCTATTAAATCAGACTCGGGCATTGTTGTTCCAAAAAAGTGTCCCAAAAAATTTCTGGGGGGAAGTTGTCCTTACAGCGACATACCTTATCAATAGACTACCCTCTAGAGTCTTAGGATCGAAAAGCCCTATGGAAGCTTTGTCATCTTTCTATCCAAACCTATCTACTACAAATAATCTTAAACCAAGAATTTTTGGATGCATCTCATATGTCCATATTCATAGTACAGACAGGGGAAAACTTGATCCTAGAGCCTTAAAGTGTGTCTTTGTTGGTTACTCACCCACTCAGAAAGGGTATAAATGCTACCCCCCCATCCAAAAAATTCTTTGTGTCTAGGGATGTTACCTTCAATGAACAAGAGGACTATTTCCATCAACCTTATCTTCAAGGGGAGAGTTTCAAGGAAGATAAGGAAAGTAGTAATTCTGATTTTCCCATTCTTCCAGACTTGATATTTGAACCTAAACAAGATCAAATTGAAGTTGTAACAAGTGAAACAGGTCAAAGAATTGGTCAAGAAAAGGAAGATGGTCAAGAAAGTGAAATTAATTGTGAAGCTGATCAAGGAGATGTTGAAGCTGACAAATTTGGTAAGAAGCTAGTGTACTCAAGGAAGACTAAGGTCATTCCAGGATCAAGCCATGTTCAAGAATCCAACTCGACTCCACAAAAAGAGGTAACAATCTTTTCTCCAGTTGTCATGATTGAAATTGAAACCCAAAATGATCCCGACCTCCCAATTGCCATTAGAAAAGGAACAAGAAAATGCACCAAACAGACCACTCTACCCTCTCTCAAACTACCTGTCCTTTAAAAATGTCTCTCCTACCCATAAAACCTTCCTAGTAAACCTAAACACTACACTTCTACCTAATACCCTATCTGAGGCATTGTCTGACAGAAAATGGAGGCAAGCCATGGATGTAGAGATGGAGGCATTGGAGAAGAACAACACCTGGGAGTTAGTCACCTTACCAATAGGAAAGAGGTCGGTTGGATGTAAATGGGTCTATACAGTGAAATACAAGGTTGATGGATCAATTGAGAGATATAAGGCAAGACTAGTTGCCAAAGGGTTCACCCAAACCTATGGAGTTGATTATTTGGAGACCTTTGCTCCGGTTGCCAAAATGAACACAGTTAGGGTGATATTGTCCCTGGCGGCCAATTATGGTTGGAACTTGGAACAATTTGATGTTAAGAATGTTTTCCTACATGGAGACCTTGAAGAAGAAATTTATATGGAGATACCTCCGGGATATGGTAAAGATGTTGCTTGCCAACACTTGTTTGCAAGTTGAAAAAGGCATTATATGGGTTAAAACAGTCCCCGTGCATGGTTTGGCGGGTTTATCGAAGTTATGACAGTCCGGGTTACAAACAAAGCCAAGGTGACCATACTTTGTTTTTTAAACATTCCAAGTCGGGAGGAGTAACAATATTATTGGTGTATGTGGATGACATAATATTAACTGGAGATAATAAAGAAGAGCAACAATTATTGAGTCAATGCTTAGGCAAGGAATTTGAGATCAAGACCTTGGGAAAACTAAAATATTTTTTGGGAATTGAAGTTGCCCACTCCGAGAAAGGGATATTTATATCTCAGCAGAAATACATCACTGATTTGCTCAAGGAAGCTGGCAAGGCAGCTTGCAAACCTGCTAGTACCCCATTAGAACCAAACCTAAAGCTTGGAAATGCAAAAGAAGATGTTACTTGTTGAAAAAGATATGTACCAAAGATTAGTGGGCGAGACTTATATATTTGTCGCATACCGGGCCAAATATTGCCTATGCGATGAGTTTAATTAGCCAATTTATGCATAGCCCAAAGGAGACTCATTTACAAGTCGCCTACGAATTTTACAGGTACCTTAAAGGAACTCCGGGAAGAGGGATTCTATTCAAAAGGAATGGTAATGTAAAGCTTGAAGCCTATACCTGATGTTGATTATGCGGGGTCAATTGTGGATAGGAGGTCAACTACAGGATATTGCACCTTTCTTGGAGGAAATCTTGTGACTTGGAGAAGCAAAAAGCAGGGTGTAGTGGCTCGGTCCAGTCGTTGACGAGAATTCGAGTCATGGCACAAGGTATATGTGAGTTACTATGGCTTAAAATCATCTTAGAAGACTTGAGGATAAAGTGGGAAGAACCTATGAAGCTCTATTGTGATAATAAGTCAGCAATCGAGTATAGCCCACAACCCAGGTGCAAGCATGATAGAACAAAGCATATTGAAGTAGACAGACACTTCATCAAAGAAAAGCTTGATAGTGCTTGATATGCACTCCATATGTGTCCTCTCAAGACCAAATTGCAGATATTCTTACTAAGGGACTGGGTTGCCATAATTTTGAGAAGATTGTATCCAAGCTGGGAATGGAAAACATCTATTCACCAGCTTGAGGGGGAGTGTGGGAAATCAAATAGTATTTTAGGAAAGAATAAATTAGGAAATTTGTATATTTCCTTGTAATCTGTACATATTTGAATAATTAGGAACAATCTCATAAATCAAGGGATCCTAGCATAAAATAGAGTTATTATATTTCCTAAAATAGCTTAGGTCTCCTGTATATATCTTATATCATCTCTTTGTATTAAAATAATAAAAATCATATTTCAGTCAATCTATTTTTCAAGACTAACAAATGTTTTTAAACCGAATTCAAGATTTAAATATTTTAATAAAATAATATTTTTATAATATAATAAATATATAACAAATTTATTAATAATAATATTTTTTATGAAAAAAGAAAAATAATAAAAATTCTTATTATAATTAGGTAAATTATAATAAATATAAAATATATTAGAGAATAAAAAATATATAATTATTAAAATAAAATTAAAAAAATATATATATTATATCTTTTTATAAAAAAAATATATTAAAATAAATTGATCCTATTTTTTATTTTTTATTTTATCAAAATTAATTCAACCAAAATATTAAATCAATTTTATTCCAATTTTATCTCAATTTAATTAAAGTCTAATTATTTAAAAATAACAAAGCAGTTGATTGATATTATCCCGATTATATTATCCCCATTTTTCCAATTTTATCTCAATTTAATTAAAGTTTAATTATTTAAAAATAACAAATCAGTTCATCCATTTAAAAGATCCGATTTTTAAAACAGTGGAACTGACCAGACATACTACCACTACTAAATACTTCTCTGGACCCATCATTTCATCTCACACAGTTTCATCCATCACAGTTCAGCATTCAGACAAGGGAATGAATCAAATCTTGCGCGCCTTTAGAATGTCGGGGTATGGGGGTGTCACACTTTGAAAGATAACTTTAGATCCTACGAGGGTCCAGTTCCTCCACACACGTCCCATGATGTTGTCCTCTCATTTTATTTGTTGTTGGGGTAAGAAAAAGTGTAAAGTTTATGCACAAAACAAAAACTACACAATAGCCCTGGATATTATTATAATCCCTCCTCCTTTCATGCTATATGTTACAATCTTATACCAGCCTATACAAAAAAAACACCCAACTTCCACAGTTGGCAATTAAAGCTAAAGAAGGTTGCAACTTGCAAGTAAACAAAAGCACAACCATCATAAGATGTAAAATATGTTCCATAACTAACCATCCAAATGACCTGGTAAAGAGTGTGTGCTTATTGATAAATAAGATGGGAGTAGACAGAGGTACTACTAGTGCTGGCTTGAGCGCCAAGGCTTAAACTTGGGTGCAAGAGCTCTGCCTGTGGAAAAGAAGTGTTAGATGGCACCTCTAGCAGCAGATCCTGATCACTACTTTCCTCCACAAAGTTTAAAGAACTAAGCATGAGTGAACTGGCATCAGGAGGCAAAGCAAATAGGCTTTTTGGACTATAGCAAGCACCATCTTCTACAGCTTCTTTACCCTCACAGCCAGCCTTTGTGTTCATTCCTTTGGGGCTCCTCATTATTGTCTTCAGTTCTGAAAAGTCATAACCAACTGTAAGTTTAACCAGTTAACAACAGTAACACAATTTTCAAGACCTCTCTCAAAGATTAAAAAAAAATAAAGGAACATTATTCAACCTTTTAAATATAATGTAAAAGTTTTCTAAATTACCATCCAATTGAGCCACTTGATATAAGACTTTAAAACACAAACCCCCCTTCCATAGATGTCTATCAAACCAGGCAGGTCTATTAAATGAGTTTTAGACTCTAGTATTTTATCAAATTTCAACTTATAATCAATTGCCATTAAGTGAAGTCATCCAACAAATATAAAGATGCTATTAAGGTAGGTGATGTGTCCCAACTAATAGCACAAACTAAATAGTACTGACATTTTTCAGTGTTCCACTAAATATAACTACAAATCATAGCATATGAAGTAGTATTTTGTATTACTATATTTCATTATTCTTGGTTATATTAAATAAGAAATAAATGAGGTTATGAGTTATGAACCAAATTTTTATAATATCAAATCTATGCATTTTAAACCAGCAAATTCAATCAACCCGTGCAAATTTATGAAAAACTGAACTACTCCAAGGTGAGGGTCCAAATTTAATCATTCCATTTCCCTCAATCAAAACAACCTGGTCTGTACAAAGTAAACACAATAATCACATCATTATTGTTGCATTAGGGAGAAAATAAATGAAAGTTTTTTTCTTGGTCTTTATATCAGGTTTTCAGCTAACCTGAGAAGTTTTGACTTCTGCTATCGAGTGTTCTCTTGTTTGGAACGTTAGTTGATTCCTTGCTGTTCCCAAAATTAGTTGATGCCTCGCTGTTCCAACCATTAGTTGATGATGTACCAGCAGATCCAAAAGAATCCAATTTTCCAGTTTTGTTTTCACATTTCTGCATCCACAGAAAGATGTAATATCTTATAAGTATCAACATACTAAAACACGATATCTATTGGTGACATAAAAAAACTAGTATATAGTACAAACCTTGACAAAATTATAGTGCTCTACCCATTTTGACTTTGACAGATTGGATAGTGCAAGTCTTTTCAAAGTCTTGCAGTCTTCAGGTTTTGCCCCCAACAAAGAGATATCAAAAACTCCTTCCGCCAGAAGCTGCTGAAAATAATTTAAGTTCTCCTTGAATTGAGAGCTATTGAACATGACTTTAAGGCTGCACACAACGACATAAGTTGTCAATATGTCTTAAGTCTCAACATCTTTAATTATATTTATGTAATGCACTGTAGAGCATTGCTTTTATAATATATTCTTTAAGAAAAACTGAAATATTCAAGCAATGCCTGCAACATTCAGATGAAAATCAAAGCAATGGCTTTAATCTGCTTGGCACACTCCAACCGTAGCTATGATGTATTTAGACTTGCAACTTGCTATATACGCCCCCCCAAGTGCAAACAGATTTTAAACTATTATTTAAGAATAAAAACATAGGAATTTGAAAGGTTTTCCATCAGTTACAACAAAAGCATGACGAAGTACAAATGAAAGAGGAGAATTCTAACCTATCAGGAAGTTTAGCAGTATCAACCACAGGAAGTAACTTCAGTAACTGTTGTTGCTCTTCATTTGTCAAGATTCTCAAAAACTCTTCATAGTTTACTATATCCTAACCAAACATAACAGCAATTACATTAAGTACATATTTGAGACTTCACAGCCTTACCCAATAATATATTATTAATAATTAATAAACATTTATACAGAACAATTTAAGAATACTAAACTAAAAAGTAATTGTTTAAGGAAACATTGGTAGTTCTAAAAATTTGGAATCAAAGTGCAATCCTGGCTTATTGCTGTGTAGCTATATGAACAAAGAATCTAAAAAAAGGATTCAAAAAATTATTAAAATATAGCAATGAACATTGAAGCCCCGGCACTGATGTAAAAACCATGTCCAGTTGGTTAACACAAACATGGATATGAACATATTTTTGCCAATTTAGGCCAAAAAACAATGGGCAGGACTATGCAACTCACATTTAAATCTATTGAGCACAGCGGTGATTCATGATCACCAAGGATTTGTACTCTGTCAAGTTGAGAGTCGTCACTGAAATTTAGAAAACAGAAACATTAATAACGACAGAGTATGTCTCTCTTCTTCAAAAAACATTCTGTTAGTTTATGACATTCACAAGGAAAATTTTTAGCATACATACAGCAACAACAGACTTTGTTTTGACAGAAACAAACAAAATATGCTACTTAGGGTAACATTAGAACGGATTTTTGTCACATTAATTAATGATACGCAATCATAGCTGTCAGAAAATCATGCCATAAACTAGTGTACAAAGCATGCCTTTTATGTTGCTCCTGCTGCATTCCGAGGCCAGTAGAATTCCTGATCTTTTCAACTTCCAGAGATGATGACTTCAAGTAACTAGAATCATTATGCATTAGAATGGGGCCAAAATAAGAATATGCCTCACTCGTTGGGCATTGCTTATTATCAACTGAAAGAGAGCTAGCCTCAGACTCTTCTTCACGGGCTATATAGCTAGGATGCCTAATGAGAACGCTTCCATGTCCTATCTCAACAGAGACCATTGGTGTTTCACTTTCAAAAAGAAGATCTTCTTCAGAAGATGCAGAAAAATAAGACTGTTGTTCGTGAAGAATAGTACATAAATCTTTTGTTAACTTCTCAACAGAAGAAGGCTTTGGACGGCCAACACATGTCCTCTTTTTTGAAGGCACCATGGCATCCCAGACCACTGACTGAGCAGGACCTAAATTAACCAAAGTATCTATATTAGAATTACGTTTTTTCATGAAAGAAAAAGGCAAAGCGTTACAAGTTTTGTATGTAGGAGATTATATGTTTTGCATAGGAACACACAAGTAGAAATTCTTGATCAAAGTCAATTAATAATGAACTAGACAGATGAAGCATATAAGATTGGGCATTCTATTATTAGGGGGAAATGTACTATATATTGTTATACACAAAACAAAAAATAGATAATCCATGTTTAATTATAGAACTTCTCATGGCAAATGTTATAACTAAAGGTTCATGGTAGTAAAATATCTAATTTACATCAATATTTTTTGTCGACAAAGTTCACTTGTTTTCTTTTAGGAAAACCACTGACTATGAAACTATTTCCAAAATCTAACTATTCTTTTATTTTTCCTCATTCCACTATTCACTACTTGATTGTGCTAATATGAATCTGGACAGGCAATATAACCAATACTTGTTTCAAAATGATGAATGTTAATTCTCTGATGTAGTCAGTGTTATGAAGATCTCAATCCAACCTGTCAGATCACTAGCATCCATGGCACCAAATTGTGCACAGCTCTCTGAGTTAGAGATAGCTGATCCTGAGCTTGATCGGTTGCTAACATCATCATCAACGAGCTTTTGGTATCCCTGGTTGTAATCAGGTGCAAACCCTCCAGATACTAAATTATCATGGTTACGTTTTTGTTTGAGCAATGTCACTTCTCTCTTCTTATTTATTGATAAGCTCTTTACCGTGGAAACCCTTTGATCCCCATAATCATCAGTTTCTGTTCGAGCATGTAAAGGGGTATAATTTGCAAGAGTTCCCTTTGTCCTCCATCGAGACCCACATGCATTGCATAGTACTGGCTTATCGGGTGGTCCATTGCGCCAGAGTGGTGTGCCTGTTGCAATGCTCAATTGTCAGAAACCTACAAAAATTTAGAGCCCTTGTAATCAAGAATAAAGATATAACTCAGATTAGATAGACTACTAACAACCACATATTCATATTTTCCTCACAATACAGTTCATGATTCATATAAAAATTACAATTCAGGTTAGATACTGGGAAACAGCTTAAACCTCCAGGATTAAAATATTTTAGAGTGGTTAGTATCTTTCATATACTAGAAAGCTGACCTTAACAAAAGCTTCAGGGTTTGGATAGCATCATCTGTCCACTTGTACCTAGACAAGGGACTATCAATTCCTTCTACAGATGCTGGGTATTTTACTTTTATTAGCAGTCTGGTTTTAAATTTGAGACTAATACATGTCATACCTTTTTCCAAGAAATTAAATATCTATTTAAAAACCTCAAGTAGTTAGTGGTGAGACTCAAAACTACGAACACTTGTAGACTGATGGTGAAGCCAATTATTGCAGCTTTACTGAAATACACTTGTTGGCTGATAGTTAAAACAACTATTGAAATTTAGCTTAAATTATTGACAGTAGTAACTGCAAAGTCTCACACATAACAAAGTTAAGGCAATCTAAATGGCACATTCCCTTCTTTTAAGGACTGAGAGCATTGTACTTTATGCAAAACACAATGCTAGAGTACCGAGCAGAAAATCAGTTGCAAAAACTTCAACACTTTGAAAAATGCATTGGAATTATAAGCAAAGAAGTGAAAACCTTCGAGTCTTAAGTTGCAGGATTAGTTCTATTATATTGATAACTAACAAGTGTTTCAAACAAAATTAACATTTCCAAATTGAGAAGAATTGAAAAGAAAACAATGAAGAGTAATAATTACTCATCAGATAGAAAGTAAGGGAGTAGTAAGACATGTCTGAGGGACGAATGCAATGCTTACAATATCCTCTTGCACAGTTAAAAACTGCTTTGAAGAGGAATTGAAAATAATTTTGCAAAAGCCTTTCCAAATACATGAATGAATCGACTTCTGGCATTTTACAAACGCATCATTCCCTTATCTTGTTACTATCCAAATAGTAAGACATGACCTTTGGGTTGACTCTTTGATATAGACCTTAAAAGCAGTGGATGTTGTTCCCATTAAGGAATCCCATATTCAATGAACTCTAAGCTTAACTTTGCAACATTTGCGTGGGCTTGGATTTGGAACATAGATAGGGAAACAAATACCAACAAAAGAGAGTAAAAACACATACAAGTAGTAAACAAATATAATTTTTCACAACTTTCAATTACAAATACTCTTGGGAACAGCACTATTTGTAGTTTTTTTAATTCATATACATCCAGAATATAACAAAGAACCCACATAAATTTTTTTCATGGTTTATATTGCCCAGCACATCTTCCCTCAACACATTTCAATTTGCAAATAGATGAACTATGCGTAAAAACTAATAAAAAAAAGAAAGCCAATAATTTAAAATAAAAATTATATTATTGAAGAAATAAGAAACTCACTTGTAACTGCACAGTGGCAGCAAGGCCCTTGTTTACCCATGTATAATCTTTTCCGCAAATTAATAAAAAGGATATGAAGAAAAATTGCAGGGAGATGAGAGAACAAAATTAATCCTTCGACAAAAAAAATAATAAAAAAATGTTTCTTTTTTTTTTCAGAAATATACAAGAGTTACGTAGAAATGCTTTCTTTTGTGAGCAAACCCAGAAATGATAGTTTGCACAAAGTAAAACTCAAGCAGAAATTTACAGTCCTTAAAGAAATTTCACATAAACAACCCCGCAGCAAGTGAAGGGATTGATGCAGGTGCGAATTACAGAATTCAATGGAAAAGAGAAGACTAGAGAAGGAAAAGGAATCTCATAAATGGTTGTGAAAAGGGGAAAGAAAAGAAGGTAGAATGGTGAGAGAGAAAGAGAGAAGAGAAGAGAAAGTCTCTGTATGTGACCTCTTGCATTGCATAAGAAGTAAATGTTTCAACTTTTTTTGCTTTTTTTTTTTTTTCTCCTCCTTTTTTCTCTTTTGTTGATTTTTTTTTCTGAAAGATTTCAATTTTTTTTTTTTGTGATATTAAAGTTAAATTTTAAAATAATGAGATCATCTTATTATAAAGGGAACAGAGGGGCAGGGGAATATTATTGCACAGATCCTGTTGACTATGGACTTTTCTTCTGTGTTAATCATCCATTTTCAATATTCTCAACAAATAATAATAAGGTATAAAGTTATTCCAACTTTCCCATTCATTTTTTTTGTATCAAATATAAGTGATTTTATAATAACTGGTTATATTTTGAAGGGGAAGAAAAAAAATTAAAAGGAGAATGAAACAAGAAAATGTTTTTGGCCTTTCCCAGAATTTGTTCCTGCTGCTATGAAATTAAATAATTGTTTATATAAAATGTGAATATCAATTAGTAATTTTATATTGTCTTGTGTATAATGACATGACGTTGATATGTATTTAAAATGTTTTCTTTAAAAAAAAAAGAATAATAAATTTGTCAATGTGACTATGTCATGTGTGGTCAGAAACCTAATTATCTTTCTTGGATTAGCCAAGAAAGGTTACTGCAGAATTCCAAAACAAATTTCAGATACAAACATTAATTTAAGTAATTTCAATTTTAATCTTATGCAAGAGTGATTAATGTTTTGTTTGAATGGAACAAAAGTTGATAGGTGAGAAAAAAAATATGTAATTGAAAAAATGAAAAAAAAAAAACAACTTTTTCATAATATATTTGTATTTTTTTTAGAAAAATCAACTTCTCTTTCTTTTTCATCCCTTCTCTCACTCATTCATTTTTGTTAATCATTTTCATTCAATCAAAAACTCTCGCATAGGAATAGACAAGTTTTATATAAAATATGATTGTTGTTCCGTTTTTTGTTTTTATCATCAAAATCATACCAAGTTATGTTGTATATTTAATATGCTTATATTGATTAGTAATATATCGTATAAATCTTAATTTTGTAATAATATTATGCGATTTCGTATTCAAAATATTAAATTATAATTCTGTAGCTTTCACGTTATGTATAAAAGTAATATTGTGTGGTTTTTTTTATTTTTCTTTCATTTGAACATAATTTTATTCTGATTGTAACTAAATAATGTTGTAAATTTCTATGAATCCATTTTATTCTGATTCGAGGATTACAACATGTGCATCCATATATATAAAAGATGTTATTTAAAAGCTATTTAAAATACAAATTATTCTCATCTTTTTTTTCATAAATTATTTAATAAAATAACTAATACAAAATTGTAAATAATATCACATTACTCAATATTCTTTAAATAAAAATATTTAAAATAATAAATACTTTACTTTAGTATTTTAATAAATTATTTTTTATTGAAAATGATATAAATTCTTATCGTATTACCTTATAAATTTGCAGAGAACATGGATTGCATTATTAAAGAAACTTTTTTTTTCCTAACAATGCTAAAACAGATTTGGATAGATATAAAATTTTTATAAATATATTAAAAACTTTAAAACAATTGAAATAAAAGGTTATAATTTGGTTAGAAAATAGGTTTTCACATTCTCTTGAAAATATAATTTTTTTATTGAAATAATTTATTTTAGTTTGAATAATCATTATAATTTTATAACTTTATAAATGTTTATCATAACAAAATATATGAGTTAAATAATCGGATTTAGTTTTAGATAAAAAAAAAAGTGTTTTTTTTTTGCTTTTTTAATTAATTTGATTATTTATTTGTAGCTAGAGAATCATGGTGGGACCTGGCAGCTATGGCACAAAACATCTAAGGATGCATTCATGTGGCGAAACGCAGAAAGTTGAGTTGTGTGTTGTCGTTTTATTATTAAGTAATAGAAAAAAAAAACTTGATTTTTATCTCCGCGCCGAAGAAATATTAATTTAAAAAAAAAATTAAAGTGAATAATATATAAATATAATAAGAAATTCTAACTAACACACTCTTTTCAACAAAATCAACCACTATTTTTAATTTTAATAATTGTAATGGCAAAAAAGATTTCTCCAACATTTTTACTAATATTCTATTTTTTCAGCCACTACCTTACCTCAATGTCTTCTCACTCCGCCACACATGTTTACATCGTTTTTTTTTTTTTTCTTAAATATAGTTTATTTGAAGCCATAAATTATAATGTATGGTTGTTAACTTCTTCAAACATATATATTATTGTTTTTTTTTAATCAATCATTACAATTTTTTTTTTGAAATTATAGATAAAATTTTAATTTAGAGTTTTTAATACATTTTTTCTTTTATTTTTGTCGAATAAAAAGATTATTCATCAAAGTTCTATAATGAACAACAGAAACATTCGATTTATTCTTTAACCTAAGGAATGTAAAATAAGATCTGAATAATTTTAATTTTAATAAAATATTTTTAAGACAATAAATAAAAAAGTATCATTAATAAAATTTGAGAGATATCATAAGTATTTTAAAAGTAAATGCATATTTTAATTAATACTTTTAGGAAAGTTTGTAAAAAAAAAATAGAAAAGAAAAAGTTATAGTTGAGAGGGGGTTGTTTGGTGAGAGGCTAAGTGGGCTCGTGACTCCGCAGCGCACGCCATGAAGTACAACTTTTAGGTTGGAAGTGAAAGAGAAAGAGAGAGTGGCAAACAAACACGGACCAAGCCTTTAACCGTAATCTATATCAGTAAAATAAAAGCATATTTTTTTAACCCTTTTTTTTATATAAGAATATATATATATATATATATATATATATATATATATATATATATATATTAGTAAAAACATATATGCCAAAGCATTTGTCTATAATTTTCTGTATAATTATTTTTAAAATTTTATTTTATTTTTCCCTTTTTAAATATGTATATTTTTTTCTTTATTTTTTTATATATTTTTACTAATTTTTATTTATGTAAATTATAATAATTATTTTTTCTTTAAACTACAACACTTTTATTTTATTATTTTAAAAAAAACGTTACAAAAAAAATCTCCTTTATATAATTCCGTTAAAAAATTATTTATACATATAAAAAAATTCATTTTGTAACCGTTTTTTATTGGAGAAAAAAAATGTTATAATTTAAAAAAAATAGTTTTTATGGTTTAAATATTTAAAAAAATAGTAAAAATATGAGAAAGAGAGACAAAGTGAATATTTAAAAAAAATTGAAAGAGAAAACAAAATAAAATAAAATATATTTTCTGGTAAGTTTGAGCATATATGGGTATCATAAAATATGGGTAAGTTTGAGCATGTAATTATATATAATGAATATTCCTTGTATAATATTTTCTGGTATCATAAAAAAATATAGTTATTATAATTTACATATTTAAAAAATTATTTATGTGGACTTTAATAGGTACGTTTCCACTAGTAGATATTTTTTTTCCTCTATTTCTTTTAATATGCATTTTCATCAATTTTTTTAATATAAAATAATAAAAAGTGTCATTTCTTTTTTTATTCTTTTAATTGTATATTTTATTTCATTTGTGTCATCTTAAAATTTTGCCTCGTATTTATTAATCTCCAATCATTTATAATTTTATAAAAAAAAATTAATAAATTAAAATAAAAAATAATAATAAAAATACAGATACACGTAGGTTTCTGCCAGTGAAAGAATGGGAATAAAGGAAGAAGTGTGGTAGGTATTGATTGGTAGAATTAAAAAAAAAAAAAGATGCGTAGAGACACACTCAGACACAAAGAAAAAAAAAACTTCGAAATCATCATACACTTATCTATAAAGAACTATCGTAATTAGTTAGTTTATTTAAAATTGAACAATTTAGTGTTAATTATAGAGTTAAACCGGTGATATTGTTTGTTAATTTTTCCACTCATGCTTGTAATGAAAGAGGTATATTTTGTGATATCTTTAGATTTGGGAATGAGGTTGGTATCTTTGGTTGAAGTCTTGTTGGTGAGGAAATGATTTTGTGAGTGCGCATGTTAAACTTTTTTGTTAAAATTCGTAATACATGTTAATGCTTCTATTCCTTATCCCTTTTGATGGTGTTTGATCAAAGTTAGTTTGGAATCTTTCACCCTCCAACCCATCCAATGTAAGAAAAACACATTGGTAATCAAAGTGTTTGATCCAATCATGTGGTTGGAATAGTTGCCATTTAGAGACGACAAGTTAAATGTAACCACCCTATAAATTAAGTGGAATTATTAGGCCCATTTGGGCATATATGAATGAGATTGAGTCAGATTGATAGAGGCCTTTCACACCAAAGAGTATTAATAATAGTAACATTTTTTATGTGGGTATTGATGTTAGGAATGGAATCAACTGTGCAAAGAAGCAAAAAGAGAAGGTGGGTTCTGATCAGGATTTGCAACTCAACACCTACACGTTGGCAAAGGAGTTGAAATTTAGAGAATTCAGATCACATCTTTTTCCTTTTAAAATTGTACAACTTATGCACTTAATCTTTGAAGATCATGAAATATTGTTTCTTTTAGAGTTAATGTATCGGTTGTATCTGTTTGGTTTATAGTTTATTGGGTTCAAAATTGTTTGGTTTTACTCAAGCTAAACATTGTGTGCATGTTACTCTTTTCTGGGACCTTGATTCCTCTGCCTATAATCATTGCATATATTATTTTTTGGATGGACCATGTTGGTGACTTTGCGTGATGAGTCGAATGATCGAAGGGTGTCGCATTGTTGGAACATTCTAATTTGATGTTACATTCAACTTGTAAACAAAATTTAGTTATTCCATCCTGTGTTTGAATTGAATGTAAAGACTCAAATGATGAGGTATTTTGCCCGATCTTGCTTCATACGATTTTAGGGTTAATAAAAGCCTTTTTTTTTTTTTTAATGAGTAAGCCCTTGATTTTAAGAAAATAAATTTTAAACTACAAAAATAATTTTAATGGAAGTTTCAAAAAAGGCACAATGTAACATTCTTTGGCACCTTATCATGTAATTTCCAATGAGAATTTCCAATGAGATAAATTCGTCAAGAGCTCCTCCAAAGAGTTCGCAGTATCTTTGCTTGAAAACAATGATGAGAAATAGATAAAAGTGAAGTAATTGACAACTTTCAATTGGAGTTGAAATAACACTTTCCACGGTCGGATGACTCATTTTTAACCTTTTGGCCGAAACACGTATTCATTTAGGGTTCACAGTTAAATTCCTACTCAGAATTAATCCGTTTTTGTTTAAGATTTCAAAAAATAAAAAATAAGACTATATAAGTTTGAGTTTCTTCCATTTAAAAAATTTAGTAATACAATTTTTAATTCTCACTCTCTCTTATATTTAAATTTAAACTTTAAAATATTAATTTTATTAAAATAAAAAAATTTGCTTTTTTATATTTTATGTTTTTTATATTTTCTTTCACTTGTTTTTCATTTTTTAAATTTTCTCAATTTCTTCAATTAAATCAGGAATTTTTTTATCATCTTTGATTCTTGGTATTATTTTTAATTTGAACTTGATTTGTCTAATATCTTTAGTAATGTTCTTAAAATTGAACTAATAATTTAATTAGTAAAAGCCTAAAAGGTTGAACTAAGTTCCAATATGATTTAATAAAATAATATTTTTATAATATAATAAAACTATTATCTTATTCGGATTACACGAGTATTTGGGATTTTAAGAGTACATTACCCTACTCAAGGTCATATGAGTATAAAACTATTACTCTATTCAGGTTACATGAGTATAAAATTATCAATTACATGGGTCACACGAGAATATAAAATCATTACCCTACTTACAATCATAGGAGTATAAAACTATTAATATACTCGAGGTCACACGAGTATAAAAACTATTATCATACTCGATATCACAAGAGTATAAAACTATTACCCTACTCGAGGTCGCACAAATATAAAACTATTATCCTAATCGGCATCACATGAATTATACATGTCTTATTCAAGTATATGAGTTATCAAACATGCATTTACTTTACTCGTGATCACATGAGTTATACGTAGCTTACTCAGTTATATAAGTTATAAAAACTTGCATCTACCTTATTCGGGGTCATATACACTAATATAGACAAACCCTTTTACGTCATCTAATTCTCGTTGGATCCAAAAATAGTTGACTTAAAAAAATGCGGTGGTAATTTTGTAAATATTGGGCGAGACTTTTACGTTAGATCCATAAAGGGGTGACGTAAAAAAAGTCTTTTATGTCAGACTAATAGGGGTTCGACGTTAAAAGCTGGACCAATTTTTACGTCGGTCCCTTATGGGTCCGACGTAAAAGTCACGTTTTATTCTATTCCTGCACCACTCTCTCATCTTGTGCAGCAAAGTCTTTTTAGAATGACGATGAAAACAACGATGACAAAGACGACAATCATTTGTGGTGGTTGACATTTCTCTTCGATTGAATTCGAGTTTTACAACATTTTTTTGTATATTTGAGGTTAGTATTCTATATATTCACTGCTACAGATATGCATTTCAACGTCGGTTAAATAAGGCTTTCAACATCGGTTATACAACCGACGTTGTATGAGGCGACGTTGAAAGTATAAACTTTCAACGTCGGTTATTTATACCCGACGTTGATAGTTTAGGCTTTCAATGTCGGTTATTCATACCCGACGTTGAAAGTGAACACTCGTCGCTCAAGCGAGTACAGTCGTCGCTCAAGCGAAATAGAACCGAGAGTCCCCTTGTTTGAAGCACTCGTCGCTCAAGCGAGTACACTCGTCGCTCAAGCGAAATAGAACCGAGGATACCCTTTGCTTGAAGCTTTCGTCGCTTAAGCGAGTACAGTC